CTGTATCTGTCTTTATCTACAACTTATATAAAATGTGTCAGAGTAGTTTCATTCCTGCTATAATTGTGAAGCTTAAAATAAGTTATTTTTTAAAATATTTTGGCAAGGATTTTTTAAGAAGAATTTTAGGTATTTAAATACGGTGATTTATATTTCTTAACGGTAAGATGTCCGCCAAAATATTTACCACTCTCCCATTCCCGATTTTGTTTTTACCGTGATATTCGATCAAGGTGAAAGGTTATGTCATTCCTACTCATAACGGTACCATCCAGCGACAACCGCGGTGTTGTAGAAACGGTGATGTGTTTACATGTGCATTGTGTACTATTCTATTGCTCGTTGCTTTTATGATGGCGTCCCGTGCTTAGTTGTCCATTGAGAACGTCACTCCTACGTACCTTGGATACGTATGAGTCACTGAGTTCAGTCGTCACAGTCGCGGCTGACTTGGGGTCGTTTTTTTAAAATATATGTGTGAAAATGAATAACATAAGCAAATCCGGATTTACATATAACATGTGTGTCACAAGTAGGCCTCCCGATGTGACGAATCCGAGACTACGAATAGTTTGCAATAAAAGTGATGAAGCTTTTTGACACATTGGAATCCATTTTAATTATGTTGTCCCTTTCTTGAAAGGGTTAGGTTTCCGATAACTCTCCTTGCCATGTGTCAAGAATGCTGTCAAACGCGCCCATGTATCAGACATTCCAAAAACAACAACAACAACATCCAACTAGATTGTCAAATAATCAATAATAATATTAATAATTTATTTCAAGAATAAACTCATACAAATAGAATACAGTATGACAGAACAGAAATTGAAAATACTGAAATAAAACACAAAAATGCCTAAAATAATTAGAATGTTGATAATAAAAATCCGTAATTCAAATAACAGTTGTTATTGATCATTTTCATATTTTTCAACAGACATAAAACTCGTGGTCGTTTATTGCATGCATGTTTTATGTTAGACAGAATCTAACATAAAATGAGAAGAAATAAACATAGAACAGAATCTAGAACCAGTTCGCGAATTGTACAAGACGGTTTCATGCCAGACTTGCATACAGTCTCTTGTTTATTTTTTTATTTTATTTTAATAAATGGCGAAAGCCGGGTTACTACGAAATGAACTATTGTTTATTTCGCGGGTAACACGACTTTCGCCATTTACACGCAATGATATTTTATTTTATTGAAAAAAACACCAATAATTAAACAAGTGACTGTGTGCAAGTCTAGTTTCATGTCCGAGTTTGTTGAAATCTTTCAATGTCAATTACGTGTTTTATTATTTATGAGTTTTAATTTCCCTGGATATATCTGTTATCACGTACACTGACAGTTCCATTAAGGTAGAAGCCTACTTATAAATGAGAATACCCGGAATGTTTGCAATAGAATGTACTCCAAGGCAATATAAATACATTGACTTTAAAAAGTCGGGGGTTCCAGACTCATTTTCGAGAAAATGATAGCTGTATTTTATTGGATATTGTGGTTGTCATTTTAGCACGAAAACAGCGATTTTTGATATTAGGATAAGTTTCTTAAAATACGTCACTGTAACACACAAAATAATGCTATTTCATTGTGTCGTGGAACAATAGCTCCTTGATTGTACATTATAAGCCAATAAACATTGTCATATGATGTACATTGTATTACTAACTTTCTCAAAACTTATGAGTAGGCTTCGACCTTAAGCATACTAGACCGTGTGAATGTGCGCAACAACTCTTCATTTCGAACTCTATTGCGCACAATAGCTTCTGTGGAATTACTTAGGTAACGGCAAATAAATGTATAAATTCTTTAAAGATTGCCTTGAAAAAAACGTCCCCAAAACTGATTTTATATTAACAACGTGGGTAAAAGTGTATTTTCGTTTCGCCGTCTCGATAGTAATCACAGTTGCCTGAAAGCTGGAAATCCAAATAAATGTAGTAATAAATTATCAGCCCGCAAGTGACTATGAGGTTATTACGAAGAT